TTATGGTGTCAAATCGGGGAATCGAGATCAACCCCGATAAAATCAAGGCAATCGAAGACATAACAGTCATGGACAGTGTTAAGGTCGTACAAAAGATTAACATGGCGGATAGCCGCCTTAGGACGGTTTATCTTGAGGTCTTCAGATCGAAGTCACAGTTTCTTCTCACTGCTCAAAAAGAAGAACAATTTTGCTTGGACCCCGTAATGCTAACAGGCGTTGGAAGAGTTAAAGCAGTATCTTTCGAGCCCACCATTGCTTCATACTCCGAAAGCGGACGAGCAACTCTACTTATATTTGGTAGTCTCTGTCACACCTCCTTTTTACCCCCGAAAGGGATATAAGGAAGTTATTCCAATTAAAGTGACATTAATCGAAATGGGATTATCTAATAAATTCAGAGTCGCCACTTGGAATAATAATGGTGTTCCAAGTCACCAGTTTATTTGAAATCCCAAATCGAGGAAATTGACTCTTATTTATGGTCTGCGAATACAGAAGACCGTGTAAGGAATTCTGTTAATCCGGGAGAAGGTGTGAGGCACTCCGAGTTCCGTGGTTTTAGCACGGTCGCTCAACTATTAATAATTAACCTAATTATTTGATTTATTACATGTTTAAACCTGTTGTGCATTTTTAACCTTTTAAATCGCTTTTAATTATTTAAGAAATTTGTTTGAACAAGTCGCAATGTCGTGCACTCGTTTGTTTTGTACACATTGCGAATCGTGTCACGGGAACCGTACCCACGATCTACAACATGTTTAATTTTATTATTATTCGAAATTATGATCGGGTCACATGAAATGCACACCCGAATTGAGATTTACGTATCGTGACCATGGCACGGGAACCGTACCCATAGCCACGATGATTTATTAATCATGCCTAAAGTAAGCTACGAATATTCATTTTAGAAACCGTAACATTTCACGTGCACGTGTACATAATCACGATAATAATTCAAAACGCACCTAAAGGTCCGCCTACCCGGGTGTGGTCGGCCTAAACATGCTCCTAACGATCAAAGCAATAAAATGAAACTAAACAGAACATTCATGTCCTAAATTTTCTTTCAATTTAAGTGTCCAACCCTGCGACCCATTGTGTTAAAACAAGAATGTGAACTTAATCCCAAATTAGTTCGGATTAATCTATATAAAATTAACTTAACTATAATACAAAAGAAGACAGCAAGTCAATTTGAAGCAAATTGAGTTTCTAGAGCTCTCAAGATCAAGACCCCTTTCCTGGTCTTCCTCTTGATGATGTTGGCTTTCAACGAGACTTATGGGCTTGGGCAATATTTTGAGATGACATTTTTGGAATAACAACATATTACATCTTCAAATACAAAATTAAGTGAAGTTATTGCTTTGAGATATTACCATAGGCTATAGCGATTATGAGCAGACAAGCTAAGTTGCACTTCCATTACTTTACTGCTATTGCTATTGATATTATAAATACTAATCAAACTGAGTTATATATTCCCAAATCACCACTTAATTAACGCTCAAGTTATATTTAAATCCACACAAAAATAGATTGTAAAAGATGAAAGAGATAGACCTGAAATAGTTTTTCAGTTGATATAATTTCGACAATTTACAGCAGCTGAGGCGAGTGATGGATGAATCCGAGCAATTTCAATAAGAACTTTCAAACAGGGGCAGCAACCACGACCGGAAAACCCGAATAATGATCAACAACGAACCCGACTCGAACTCGTTTCACGGGAAAAATGTGGCAAATCGAAATGATTGGAACTCTCCTAGTGTATCCATGGACTTCTGTGTCTATGGGTGGCCGGTGGAGAAATATAGAGGAAAGGGGGTGCTGCCATGTCTCTTATTTAAGAGAGGTTAGAAAAGAAATCTTGGGTTTGATGGTTGTCCACTTAGATATTTTAGGGAGTATTTTTTTTTTAATTTTTTGAGAAAAGAAGTTATAGATTCTCTGAAGGGGGAGGGGAAACGGTTGTGGAGTTTAGGGAATTAGCTCCATTTTTGTGTGTGTGTGTGTTGGGGGGGGGGGGTTCTATCGCTGAAGTTGGAGTTGGAAGAATTAGGTTGAATTTAGTGATTATAAAAGGGTTATGGGTTAGGATGGGGTAATGGGATAAGGTTATTTGGGCTAAGGGTAATTGGGTTGGTCCAAAATTGCTTAAGAAATTAAAAAATGAGACTAATTTTGGGGTTGTTCAAACTCTTTTAGCTAAAATCCCAAATATTATTCTAAAAAGTATAATGTATTTATAAAATATAGAAATCACTCTTAATTAAAATAAACTACTAAAATAAAACTAAATACTAAAAGTGAAACTATTTTTGTATATTTTTTAATTTTATAAAAGGTAGATAAACTAAAAGTAACTAAATAAAATATCAGTTAGCTAAATAAGAGAAAATATTTTTGTAATTTTTATTTTTTGTGATAAAATAAAGTAAAAGGGTCAAAACTAGTTAAAATAGCGATATTAGACCCAAACTAAATATCTAAACGCTAAAATGTGTAAAATCTTGGGGAGAGTCAAAAATTACATGTCTACAGCTGCCCCTCTTTGACTGGAAACACGAAGAGTTTTCAGACAAAGAACGACTAGACATGTTTTTGACCCGACCTTTATTTAAAAGAGAAGAGAACTAGAAGAAAGGAAAATGTGACCGAGTCCTGGTTTTGGACAGCCTACATATCCCTGGTTATAAGGGAATCAGGCTGCGTGTAGTTTAGAGAATGATGGAATGATGAGTTGGAGAGTCGAGTGAGGTTCCGTCGAGGCTCCGGTCCGCGGTCCTGTTATTACATCAAAAATCAAAATTAAAAAGACTAACTAAGCCTATCGGCTACGAGTTACAAGATTTCTATATGAGTCTTCTGAAGCTTGATCTTGAGTCTTGATTGGTTCTTCATGCGGACTCTGATCTGAATCTTGATGCTTGCTAGCTGCATGTGTTGATTTATTCTTTCACGGCTTCTTTGGATCAAGACCGGACATGCAGTGCTCGTGACTTCAGTCATGTCTTGAGCAGTTCACATCTTTCATCTGCTTCTGCATTTGGATTCACTTCCCTCTTTTTTTCTTTTTTTTTCTTTTTTCTTTTTTGTTTTTGGATTGAGACTCATTCTTTTGGTTATCTCGAACAGTCGACTCGCATTTTTTAGGCGAGATTCCGCTACTTCTATCTTGAATTGAATTCTGAAATGACTTCCCTCGTTCTCCAGGTGGGCTCTTGCTACTGACTTGAAATTTGAAGTGACTCTGAAATGAATTCCCTTGTTCTCCAGGTGGGCGCCTGATACTACAGCAAAACAGACAAAACAAAAGAACTTTTCTGCCCTAGTTTGCACTAGGAAGATTTGTGAGTTGTTACCAGACCTATGAATCACCTATGTTATTGATGAAGGATGCAATTGAAGACTCGACCAGGATGTGCGTCTCCTGTGAGTAAAACCAAGAAAAATTCGACTAGCAAATGCGTTTGCTAAAAAAATCTGAATGACTCGGACTAGGAAGTGCGTCTCCTAGATTTAAGATTGAGCTTGATGGAAAACTATAAACTAAGCTTGACTAAAGTAAAAACTGACCCTATTCTCCAACTTCTATTTTCTGGGGGCATGGACCTTTGACAGTTCTTTTCTTCTTCTTTTTTTCTTTTTTCACTTGAACTTTCTAAGAATTGCCCCAGTTTGTACTCTTGGGACATGGACTTTTCTTTTCTTTTTCTTTTTTTCTTTTTTTTTCATTTCTTTGACTCTTGACGCTAAACTTGATTTCAAAAGAGGAGGGTCAAAGAAAATAACACAGGCTCAAAAAGGGTAACAAAGGGTATAAAGTGTTTGGATAACAGAAAAAGGGCCTCCCAACCTCGAGAACGCCAATTATAGTATCCTTTCGCGATCACATCATTGATGAACATGCCTGTCTTCTTGGGTCTTTTTCAGTGTAAAGCTGTATGAGCAATACTTTCCTCGCTGTGAATGACCCTTGTCAATTTGGGTGACTTTTCTTGGATTTTGTCTTGATATAGAAGATGCATTTTGCCACTAACTGATCCATTTCATGTTGTCTAGAATACACCTTCTATTGAAAAATACTTTCTATCTCTTAGTGCTAAACAGACTTCAACCCGTCCGATTATCCTTAAGCCCGACCTTCTCAAATGATTCAAAAGGTAGAGATCCTTAACTTCCATAAGCATGACTGCTTTGGTTCCATGTAAACTTAGCTCATGCTTATTTTCCAAATGTTTCACGTGTCTATTCTTCTTCAAAAGTGTCTCTTTCTCACTTATGCAATTCAAGACTAAATCGATTTTCTAAGATCTGGCCAAAAATTCCGCATGCATGTCATGTCACTAGAACTAGCGTGAAAAGAACTATGCATAAAATGGACACAAAATGACTGACTGCTTTTTATTGAATAAAGGATAGCAGGGTCCGATAACACAAAAGAGGAAGAAAAGATGACAAAAATAAACTACCATGGTTGAAGGAGGAGTGACTTTCTAGTTACTAAGCGACATCTTAGCCACACATTTGCACATCAGCATTACTACGACATTTGACCATTTTGATTGCTTTGGATTCAACACTAAAATTTTGGCAATCATCCCGAGCAACCCATGTTCTGTTTCTCAAATCTGGTAAAGTTAACCCCAGATTTGCCTCCATTTTTTATTTTTCACCGCCAACTTGCCTACTTGCCTTTCGTGACCCTGGATCAACAACATGGTGCTTGTTCCATTGGTTGAGAAGATGCTTTTACTTTCGAAAGATCTTGGATTGTTCTAGTGACTCGCCATTGCAAACCAACAAACGAACACCTTTGACTAGCTTTTATTTCAAAACAACAAGCATGTTAGAATAAACACTCTTTTTTTTGGTAATTAATTTCATTTCATTTCAAACAAAAGAATACAAGATCATAGCTGTTTACACTTCTCAACTCTATCTTCTACTTTCTTTACTCTACATTTCTTCCTACCTATTACATACAATTAAGTAGGATAGTAGTTCATCTCATCTAATCTAGTATGTAGTCGCTGTACACATCTTCCTCTTCCATGTACTGCTTGGACTATATCTCGTACAAGTTCCTGAATGGACTGCTTCACTCCTCTGAAAATTCTGTTATTTCTTTCCTGCCAGACATGATATACTGCACCTGCAAGTATTAGTCGATATAGTTCAGCTTTAATGCTCCTTCGTTTGCAGTACTTGATGGTCCAGTTGAGTTCTTCATTCCATTGTATTGCCTTTTTATAGATCCCCTGCCATTGTAACAGCACTGTCCATACTTGTGAAGTGTAGGAACAGGAAAAGAATAGGTGATCAATAGACTCCTCTTCTTTGTTGCATAGTTCACATGTGACCTCCTCCACGTATCTCAGTCCTCTCAATCTATCTTTAGTCATTAGCTTCCTTTGAACAGCTAGGTAGACAATAAATTTCCACTTTGGGGCTCCCAGATTACTTTGCATAAGTTTCCTCCATGTCACTTGTTCAAAGCTTCCTCTCAGTTTTGTGTAGAATTTCTTCACTGAAAAACTTTCCATCTTTTCCATATCAGCTTCATTGTATCTAGCTTCCTCAAAGTATTGTCTAGCTTTGAGAATCTTCTGAATTATCCAGGAAGCTTGTTTAGCCTCAATACTCCATCCTGCTATCTGTTTCTTGTAATACACATGCACCCACTGCACCCATAGCCTATCTTTCTTTTTATTGAAGTTCCACATCAGTTTACAGATGGAAGCTTTGTTCCAGGCTTCAACATTCAGTAGGTTTAATCCACCAGCTGCCTTAGGCTTGCACAAAGTTTCCCAGGCCACTAGTGCTTTCCTAGACTCTTCAATCCCCCAGTCCATAGGAAATTTCTGTAGACTTGTTCAATCTTGTGGATCAGCTTCTTTGGAAGGATAAATATCTGTGACCAATATATCTGTATAGAGAACAATACACTTCTGATTAGCTGGAGTCTGCCTGCATAGGACAGAAATTTTGTTGTCCAAGATTGTATTCTTCCTAGCATTTTCTCTATTAAGGGCTGGCATTGTATTAAGGATAGTCTCTTAGTACTCAGAGGCACTCCTAGATACTTCACTGGTAACTCTCCCTTTACAAATCCCAGGTCATCTAATATCTGCTGCTGCTGTTCTTCTTTAACTCCTCCAAAAATGATAGAGCTTTTTTCTCTATTAGCTATTAACCCTGATGCTTTTGAAAACTGTTGAAAGCATTGAAAGACCAGTTGTACTGACATAATATCACCCCTACTAAATAGTAATAGATCATCTGCAAAGCTCAACTGGATAATATTCATTTTGCTGCATTTTGGATGGTAGTTGAAATTTGGGTTCTGTCTGAGAGTCTTCAGTATTCTTGTTAAGTACTTCATAGCTAGCACAAAGAGATAAGGTGACAAAGGGTCCCTTTGCCTTAATCCCTTCTTAGCTTTGAAAGGTTCTGCAGGCTCACCATTGATCAGGATGGAGTAGGATACTGTGGTAGTGCATTGCATGATCCACTGTATGAACTTCTCAGGCAATTGCAAGTATGTTAGGACTTGTTCTAAGTAGTTCCACTCCAAAGAGTCATAGGCTTTCTTCATGTCTATCTTCATCATACATCTAGGAGATACCCCTTTCCTATTGTACCCTTTAACTAGTTCATGACTTAGGAGTATATTATCATTTATCAATCTGCCAGGAACAAAAGCAGCTTGGCTTTTATCTACAATATCATCCATGACACCCTTTAACCTGTTAGTTAAGACCTTTTATATGATTTTGTACAAAATTGTGCAGCAGAAAATAGGCCTGTATTCTGAGATTCTGGCAGGATTTTTCACCTTTGGTATGAGAGTAACTGTTGTAACATTGATTGGTTTGGACATTTGGGATTTAGTAAAAAACTCTAACACTGCATTTGTAACCTCTTCGCCTATCACTGGCCAAGCCTTTTTAAAGAACACTGCATTGAAGCCATCACAACCAGGAGCTTTTGCATCACCCATGCCTTCCAAAGCTTGATATATTTCATCTCTAGTCACCTCTGCTACTAGTTGCATCTGCTGTAGTCTGTTCACCTTTGGACCATTTTTAATTACTATTGGATTCACTGCTGGTAATTCATTTGCTGAAGTCCCCAATAGTTGCTTATAGAAGCCTATCACCTCTTCCTCCATATCCTTTTTTGTGTGCAGTGAGCTGCTATTATTTTTTATCAGCCTTCTGATTTTGTTTTGACTGCATCTGCTCTTCATATTTGCAAAAAAAAATAAGCAGTGTTTGCATCCCCTAATTGTAGCCACTTTATTCTGGACTTCTGCTTCATAATACTTTCCTCTATTTGTGACCATTTCTCCAGTTGAAGTTTTGTTGCTTTCTCCTCTTCTCTTAGTCCACTCTGCCTTGGGTTCCTCATCTGTTCCTGCACTTCTATCAATTTCTGCCTGTATTCCTTGACCTTTGTCCCTACATCATTATATTCAGCCTTGTTCAATTCCTTCATTGCTTGTTTTACTTTCTTCATTTTTTGCCATACATTCCACATTTTCTGTCTTTCATAGGATTGTCTCCAGGCTTCATCAACAGTTTTTAGAAAGTTGTCATGTTCAGCTAAGTGATTTAGGAATTTAAAAGGTTTGGCATTCTTCTCTTCATGTATATCCAGACCAATACTCAAAGGAGAATGGTCTGAATAATGAGGATCCATAATCCACACTTCATTCTGTGGCATTGTGAGTAGCTAGTCTGTATTGGCAATTGCCCCATCTATCTTGCTATATGTACTCCCATTGGTCCATGTATATATTCTTCCACTAGATTTTAGTTCAGCTAGCCCATTGGTTGCCATGAACTCATTAAAATCTCTAACCTCAGCTTCTTGTACTGGATTTCCCACGGGTCTATCTTCTCCCCCCCTACAGCATTATAGTCACCCATAGCTAACCAAGCCCCTTGCTGTATTGAATGGATCCTTACTAATGCAGACCATAAGCATTTCCTGTATTCCACACTGTGCAATCCATATACTGCAGTAAAGTTAAACTGTATGTTTAATCTCTTCACATATACACTGGTATGAATTAGTTGATCAGTTTTTCATATCTCTTTGCATTCTATTTCACTGGAATCCCACAATATCCAAATTCTCCCTTTGCTACTCTGTTCATAGTTATCCATATACTTCCATCCTGGAGCTATTCTCCTAACAACTTGATCTGCATTCTGTTTTTTGATTTTATGCTCCAATATTGCTATTATATACACTTTATTACTTGTAATAAACCACTTTACCTCCTTCTGCCTAGCAGATTTATTCAAACCTCTTATGTTCCAAGTGATGAGCTTCATACTGGAATAAAAAGATTCTGATTATCCCCCCTTGCCCTGTATCCTCTTGTTGTCTGCTAGTTCCTTCTCTTTCTACATATGGCACCAAGGACTCTGCAAGTAAATTGAATCCATTTAATACAGTCACTACATCTGTTTGTTGTCTTTCCCTACTCCTTGCTGCTGATCTTCCTATAACTGTTTGCCATTTTTGTTTCTCACTCCCTTTATAGTTTTCCAGTTTGGTTATTTATTGTCTCTNTGGTTGCCATTCCTGTTTCTGCTTCATATTCTTGTTCCTCATGTTTGGCTTGTCCATCATTCTACATTGGTGTCTCACCTGCATACATTTTGTACAGAATTCCGGCACCCAATCATAATCAATCTCCTGCATAAACTCTCTCCCATTAGGATCAGTTACTTTAATTGATTTTGGTAGCTCTTTTGTCACATCCATATCCACTAATACTCTTGCATATGATATCCTATCAACTTGTGTGGTACATGCGTCTGCATACAGGGGTACTCCCAGTCCACTACTGATCCTGCTTAGTGATTTATTACCCCAACAATTCAAAGGTAGATTGGGATATTTCACCCACACTGGTATGGTCTGTAGGACCTCTTTGTTTAAGTCAAAATCAACCGACCAAACTTTAACAATAATTGGTTTATTATTCATCATGTGAGGCCCAGAGTATAACACCTCATCCCGATCTTCAATCGAATTGAATTTCACCAAAAAATATCCATCGTTATGAAGGTAAACTCTAGGTTTCGCTACAAAATTCCACATCGAAGCTATATACCTCTCCATTGCCCCAATTGTTGGACTACCCCCCACAACATACAAAATTAAAGCTAATTTCCATTTTTGAGTTTCCACATCTATCTCTTCTTTGCATAATTCGACTGTTATTTCTCCATTTTTGATAGTCGGTGGAATATAGCTCAGATCCATACCTTTTGCTGCATAAGTTGATCCTACAAACAGATTTGCCCATTGTTTTGGTCCTTTTCCAGCTTCTTCTCCAGATTTTGCAGCTAATTCCCCTACATCACCCTGTTTCTGTGCTTCCTTTGTAATTGCTCGAGTATTCTGCTCAATTGTCCCTTTTCCACTTGAATTAGTACTTGCATGTGCTATCACTGCTTCTGTAGGAGTTATACTAGCTTACTCAGCTTTCATCACTGGAGTTTGTCCCTTCTCCTTCATGTTCATCAATGTCGGCCACTGTTCCATCGGAATTTTGCCTTGATCGCTTGTCAAATCATGATCAGACTTTTGGAGTGGAGTCTTCGATGTTGAAGCTTCCATTGTAGTTTGTGTAGCAACGATTTTCTTCGGTCTTCCCCTTCCCATGGCTATTTGGCGTACGTTAGATCATGCACTCTAACGTGCGCGGAGAGAAAGAGAGTGCTGTTGTGCTGTTCTGTAATAAAGCGTTAAAAACACTCTCTTTCTTTTTCCTTTTTTTTTCTTTTCTCTTTTTTTTTGTTTCTTTCCTTTCTCTTTTGTTTTTGTCTTTCTTTCTTCTTTTTTGTTTTTGTTTTTTTAACCATGCGATCGAACCTGATGTGGATTGCCTACGTATCACGACGCCACATGAATCAGATCTCTGCGTACTTCGGGAAGATTAGGAATAAAGGAAATAAAACAAACTCTCTTTTTTTTATTTCCGAAAGAAAGACTTATAAAGAAGAAAGAAAATATTTTTGGATTTCGAATTTTTTTTTTGTTTCTGGAATTTCTAAAAAACTTCTAAAGAAGAAAGAAAATATTTCTGAATTTTTGGACTTTTATTTTGAATTTATGAAAGAAATACTTCTAGAGAAAAAAAATTTATTTTTAATCTTGAATTTTCTTTTTAATTTTTGAAAGAAGAATGAAATATTTTTGGATTTTGAGAAGAAAATAAAAGAAGATATTTTTGGATTTTTTTAAAAATTGGGGTCTAAAAGAAAGACTTTCTAAAGAAGGAAGGAAAATATTTTTGGATTCTTTTTTTTTAAAATTGTCTAAAGACTTTTCTAAAGAAGGAAGTAAAAAAAATATTTTTGGATTTTCGAAAATTGGGGTCAAAGAAAGACTTAAAGGAAAATATTTTTGGATTTTTAAAAATTAGGGGCCGGAATCGATGAGGTTTGCCTACATATCTCACATCCGGTGAGAATCAGACCCGCGTAGTTCGTCAATTTTGACGCAACAGGAAATTATGACTTATTTTGAAATGACTTTTCCTTTTTTTTTTTTCAAAATTTTGGCAGAGTTTTAGGATAATTCAATTACTTACCTCTCACTCTCTCTCTCTTCTTTTTTTTTTTTGATTTTCTCTTTTTTTTTTTGATTTTCTTTCCCTATTCTAGAAGCCAGTCAACATGCAAGCCGAAACAGACAGATATGCAAGTAGCACGTAAGATGCATCATGATGGTCTTTTAGTTTAGGTAAACTTGTCCTAGACGGACCCAACCCCTATGTTGAGTCCCCAAAGTCAAATGCACGTGATGCAAACAAGCGTTCCTACTAGGG